ACCCTCCTTCCGCATCTCACTTCTGCACTCTCTGTCCACATCTCACTTCTGCACCACCTTACATTCACAGCTCTCACCTCCCTATCTCCACCAACAACTCTGGCCTCAGCACGCTCTGCACCACCCCCGTCCATCCATCCAAAGCTCTCACCTCTGCAGCCCCCTCTCCATCCACAGCTCTTAACTCTGCACCTAGCAACACCCCCCTCCATCTACAAGTCTCACCTTTGCACCATCATTCCCTTATCCCCATCCAGAGATCTTTTTCTCTCATTTTGCTGGCATCCTTCCTGTCTACAACTCTCACCTCTGCTCCCAGTAACCCCCCTTCCTAGCCACAGCTTTCGCCTCTGCACACAATAAAACCCTTCTTCCATCCAAGTAGCCAAGGCTCACCACTTGTTTTTCCACTTTCAGCAGCCAACACAACAGGCAGATAAGGGCTTTTGCACAACATACTTGCACATTAGGAAACACTTACTTTGCAAGTGTGCCCTTCTCCAGCACTGTCAGATAATTCTTAAAGTGACATTAAAGTCAAATATATTTTTCCCTCCCCCCAATGTTAATGAAAGCACTTACTTTAAATGATGTTTCTTAATCCGATCTTCTTCTTCTTTCCTGTCCTTTTCATCTGTACCTCCAGCGCTGCTGCGGGTCTCCGATCTAGCGCTGACCCCTCTGTCCTTGCTGGCACTTCCTGTCCCACGGTGTCTGCATGCGGGTGCACGCCATCCATAGACTTACATTGTGTCTCTCCTCGTCTCCTGGCCAAAAATGTGAACTGCGCATGCGCCCACCGCAAGATGCGGAATGTTCACATTTTCGGACAGGAGCACGCGGGGAAGACACAGGTAAGTTTAAACCGCTTATATCTACTGCTGCTAGCAGTAGATATATGCAAAAACACTGGAGGGTTTAATAACCCTTTAAGTCCCCTGCTCTGTGCAATTAAAAAGCTGACTGCATGAATGCTCAGTTTCTTTGCTGCTCCTTTCCTTCTTTCCGGGGATGGAGATTTCCCTAAGGGCTGATATAGGAGGGAGGATGTGATGTATTTCTGTCTGAGGTGGGATAATGCTGCTCCCTGCTCAGGAACAATTACAGCACATGAGCAGTGAGGTGGAGCTGTTCATCTACTAGCTTGCAGAAGAGACGAAGAAGGAGGGAGAAAGGAGGAATGAGGCTGGAGGAAGGAGAAACAGGGAGCAGGGGAGAGAATTGCCTTGCTGTGCCAGTGTGTTTGTGGATATGTACAGCTTACTAGAGTAAATGAAATTGACTCCATAGGACCCTTCAAGGGAAAGGAGCCACCCTAAAACAGGATATTGGGGCCAGCGTTCAGGGGACCAGCTAATTCTGCAGGAAGCTAAAACTTTTAAACATCAAGGAGCATCATAGATGTTTAAGTGATCTAATCAGCATTTGAGATAACTGGGGGACCCAGGACCTTAGCAAATACATTAAGCATGGAGAGCAGGAGCAGACTGGGAAATGACCGTTCCTCAATCTGCTCTGTGATCAGTGAGGCACTCACAGCGCTTCCTGCTTCATAGTTGTGAGAAGCCAGCTGAAGTGCTGGTTACAAAGGCGATTGAGCACAGGATTGCCTGTATTTGAGGGCTAGAGAGACATTAGGGGTCTAATAGTAGGGCTGCACCAATACCGGTTTTCGGTATCGAGTACCAATATTTTTTTCCCCGGTACTCGCAGAAACTGAATATCGATATCGGACGTCCCATTAAGGAAGCCGAGCGGTGTGTAATGACTCGCCACCGCCTTCCTGATTAGCCGGGAAGCCGTCTCCATGTTCCCTTGTCACCAGGTGACAGGGAATAGTGGAGCCTGCTTTCTGGCCAATCAGGAAGCCACGGGGCGGGTAATGACTCGTCGCCTGGCTTCCTGATTGATCAGCTTCCCGAAGAACCATTAGTCATTACATGGCGCCCGGCTTCCTAAATTCCTCTTCACCAGGTGACAAGCGAGCATGGAGTCGGCTTTCTGGCCAATCAGGAAGCCGGGGGCAGGTAATGTCTCACCTCCCGGCTTTCTGATTGGCCGGGAAGCCGGCTCCATGCTCCCTCGTCAGAGCATGGAGCCGGCTTCCTGGCCAATCAGGAAGCCGGGCAGTGTGTAATGACTCGCTACCTGGCTTCCTGATACTGGAAGTTCCGGTATCGGGATAGGCATAAGGAGCATTTGGGCGAGTACGAATACTCGCCCAAATACTTGGTCTCGGTGCATCTCTAACAAATAGACTCCTAATGTCTCCAAAAAGAGTACCTGTCACCTCCAAACACTATCACATATGGGTTTGATATAGCAATAAAGTTGAGTGAAAACATTTTTTAAAAATCAACCTGGCCGCCCCCACGATCTGCATGTGAACAAACATGCGTGTGTAGGGAATGCGCGTAAACAACGATTGTGCTACACATGTTGCATATCCTTTAAACGATGGAGTGAGAGCAACAATTCTGGGGCTATCAGTCATAGTTAACACTAAACTGATGAGTGGTAAAAGCTTTTAAAACATTGCCACACAATTTTAAATGCTTGACACGTTTGATATCTCTTTACCCAACACAACCCCATCTTTTATATTTTACCAAAAAATTGGGTATTATATTCTGTTTCTGTGCACTAATTCATGTAATGTCGTTTATCCTAAAAATATTGATTTGATAAACATTTGTGCAAATATTGTGTGATGTAAGAAATTGCAAAATATTGTAAAAAAATTGCAAAAAATATTTAATTGTTTGGGAGTTTTAGGTATTTGTTTAGCCAAAAATTAAGAATTTCTCTGAACAGCAAACCTTTTGACTTTAACATCACACAAAGGACAGTTTGTCGTTTTAGGCTGAGACGCACTTTAAAGTGATACTAAACTCAGAAGTTAGAGGATTACTATAGGTTGGGCATTTTTTACCTTAATACATTCTCTGCATTAAGGTAAAAATCGCCCAGTACCTTTCTGTCCCCCCCACTTACCTGTCAGCGCTGCTTGTCACCGCCGCTGGTCCTCCATCCCGAATGTACTAATCAGTGGCGTAACCAGAGTTATGGGTGCCCGGGGCAGAATTTTTTACCACTGCATCTGCGGCCAGGAGCTTCGTTTAGTGGGGGTCGGTGATGGCGCCCCCCCTCAGTCCTGTGCCCGGGGCTGCCCCCCGGTTGTTACTCCACTGGTACTAATTGCAGGGAGGAGATTGAGGGCAGAAGAAACATAGGCTCCTTCTGCCATCAATCAACCTGTTGGGCGGAGAGGAGGGCCATGGCCTGCCGCAGAGATGTGTGTGTCTATGGACGCACACAGCCACTTGCAGGCACAGCCAGGAACGTGCACGCATGGGTGCCTCCATAGCAGCTGCTTAGCTGATGCAGGCCCCTGTGCAGGGGGCGAGGGGAGAGCACTGCAGGGACCCACTAATGAACAAGGAAATTAACATTTTTAATGGAAAACAACAATAGATTTCTACAAGTATGGGCCTCCTATTCATAAAAATATAAAAAACCAAATGACGCTAATATCACTTTAAATCCAAATAATGCATTAAAGTACCCTAACTATTAACAAAAATGTATCTTATTTGTGTATTACTGAGCTGCAGATCCTCAAATCATCTCTGAATTGGTGCTGACACTGTCCTTCCTTCTGGAGGGTGGCTACTTTTGTTCCCCATGGGCCCTGTGTGTGTTGTAAAGTAGTCACGGCTCTGAGCTCACTCTTGTGATGGACTTCAATCTCATGTTTAGTTCACTAATTTACAGTGGTGTCACGCAGGGGTGTGGCCCGCACCCGGGTGACACAATTGGAGGGGTGACAACAAAATGGCTGACAGTCATTCTGGTATCACCCCCTCTATAAAGTTGGGCACTCGGTCATGTACCGAGAGCCCAACAGTGCCAGGAGAGAGAAGGGGAGCCGGCAGGATGAGGAGTGCCGCCGTGAACGTCCCCTCCTCTCTCTGCCGACATCCATCACCAGGATGGTCGCCGGCAGGCGTCAATTAGATGACCGCGCAGGGGCGATGACATGATCACGCACACGCATGCGCTATGACGCAACAGCGGAGTGCCACCTGGTCTCGGCTCCGGGTGACACCTGGCCCTGGGACGCCACTGCTAATTTATATTGAAATTGTAGTCCATCATGGGGGTGAGCTTGGAGCGGTGACTACTTTACAACACACACAGGGACCATGGGGAACAAAAGTAGCCACCCTCCAGAAGGAAGGACAGTGTCAGCACCAATTCAGAGATGATTTGAGGATCTACAGCCGAGTGATACACAAATATGTTATACTTTTGATAATAGGGTAATTTAATGCATTAAGATTTAACTTGTATATTGTAAAGCGCTGTGCAAACTATTGGCGCTATATAAATCCTGTATAATAATAACTCATGAGTTTAGTGTCACTTTAATAGTGGTGCTGCCCTTTTTAAAGATTGAGGGTAAAAATATTTTCTTAAAATGTGATTCTTGCACTTTGCTAGGCTCGGCTCCCATGTGACAGCGCTGGGGTCTGGGAATCAGCCTACCAAGCGCTGTATTGTCAGAGGGCAAAGAAAATGTCACCTTTTCCATTCTTGGAAATGCACAAAAATGAAGCAGTTACATTTTTGCAGAGTGCCCTGCCATCCTGAGAATGCATACTAACACTGGAATAATGACACAAGACCCCTGTGCAGGAGGACAATTATATGTACCCCCCTCCACTGAAAAGAAAGCTTTCCTTGTGTGCTGTGCTTTCCACAGGGAGATTCTAGCTGGGCCTTTCTAATGACAGGGTTACATATATTCAGAGGCAGGGTACAGGTGACAATGTAAACTATCCCTTCACAAGGGAAACGATTGCTGCACACAGTACAGACACGGCTGAGCTAATCCCCACAAGGCCGAGGAGTAAACAACCCCGTGCTGAAGGGACTCCGGAAGGTGCATTTTGATTGGTGAAGGGACAGGCAGAGTCGTTGGCGCATGCGCAGTGTGGTATGGACGCAGGATGGGCTTTACCAAGGTAACGGGCTCTGTTTACATCGTTGTGACACCAGGGATCGAACCTTGTTGTAGCACAAAGGAACCCCGGGGAAAGAGGAGTCCGCAGCATGCCGGTCCGATTCAAGGTGCCACTATGTGACATCAGCCTCGAGCTGCAGCTGTCTGTCTGCTTGTAGCAATGTGTTATTGTGCTGGAATAATGCATGTGTATGGCGATAGATAGAAGATAGGGGTCACTATACATATTGTGGCTTCGGAGGGTTGATGTTATTTAGAATTGCTTATCTCTATTTTCCACTTATTCCACCTTTTTTTTGCAAAAGACTAACAAGTGCACCCATATAAATGTGCATTTATTCATTTTCTTGCATTGGAGCCTGCAAAGCATTGCCGTCATGTTCAGTGAATGACAGGTGCATTGCTCAAGCCCCTGCAGACTGTTCCTCCAGCCCCAGGTCTGTACTGTACAGAGCTTCTGTTATGGAGCTGGAGGAAGTAATCAATGGACTACAAGTGCAGTGTTGTCACCACACTTGTTATCCATTGAGAACTGTGTGGTACTACTGCCACAGTGGCAGACAATGGGCCTGTGAATGAATGACGCAGCTGTGGGAGCAGAGCCATGCACAGCCACACTGAATTAAAAAATACGCATGAATGGGGGAGAAGCACTCTACAATTCAAGTAATTGGGGGTCATTAGGGTGGGGGACTGTGGAATGGCACAGTGCTCCAATATACACCCTAAATATGGGTGTAACATGGTAATAAAGGTGAAATTAGCTTTTAAACTGAATACGTTAACATGCTCATCTTTGCATTTAAGCTGCCATTCCTGTATAAGGATAATACCTTTGCAAAAATCGGAAATAATATGGCAACTAATCCATAATGGATGCTTGTTTGTTTGTTTGTTTTGTTATTTTGTTTTACATGTTGTTATATTTGCAGATATACAAATGTAATAAACTGAAAGTGAAAGTGTCTTCAATGCAGTTTACCTGTCATTTACTACCTATCTGAATATATAATATACAATGTTGCAAAGTACAAATATCAAGACAGCTATAATCTGCAGTTCATGTAAAATAGGTGGATGTTTATGTGTTAATTATGAAACAGTAATCTTTGACCAAAGAAAAATAAATGTATATCATTCAATGAGCATTGCAGACAAATAAGGTCCTTCAAGTGACACTAAACTCAGGAGTTAAATCCTTAAAATACATTCAAACACCTTAACTATTAACAAAAATGTATCTTATTTGTGTATCACTCAGCTGCAGATCCCCAAATCTTATCTGAGTTCATGCTGACACTGTCCTTCCTTCCGGAGGGTGCCTACTTTTGTTTCCCATGGTGTTGTGAAGTAGCCACCGCTCCGAGCTCGCTCCCGTGATGGACTACAATCTCAGTACAAATCTGTAAACTAAACGTGAGATTGTAGACCATAGTGGGAGTGATCTTGGAGTGGTGGCTACTTTACAACACACAGGGACCTTGGGGAACAAAAGTATTCACCCTCCAGAAGGAAGGACAGTGTCAGTTCCAATTCAGAGATGATTTGAGGATCTACAGCTGAGCGATACACAAATATGATACATTTTCATGAATAATTAAGGTACTTTAATTCAATGTCTAATATCATTTTGACTATGACGTACCTGAGGATGAGACCGGAAGACGGGGAGGCGTCACTTGCGACTTGTGTCCTGCAACCCCTGGAGTTGGGGACAGGAGGACAAAAGGGGAACAAGGAGCACTAGTGCCACAGGCTGGAGACAGGCACTGTGCAGGAGACTTTTTGTAGAGAGGTCAGTAGGCCAAGAGTCAAGCCTGGTGGGCAGCGTAGGAGCAGACTCAGGAGCCAGAAGTCGTGGTCGAGGAAGCCAAACGTCAGATCCAGACAGGCAGCGAAGTACAAAATCAGTAGACGAGCAAATTCAGAGAACAGGCCAGGGTCAGGGGCTGGCAGCAATCAGAAGAGTAGTCCAGGGCAATCCAAGTCAAGCAGGTCATAAGTGGATAACAGGAACACAGGCAACACAAGCTGACAAGACCATCAGCAATGAGAGGCAGGCAGGCAGGCTAGTCCTTATATAGTCACTGAATTAAGGCAGCTACCTCACTTCCTGTGCGCCATCCGTCCGCACCTCGCGCATGCGCACTATGGTGTGCTTTTCGCGATTGGGCTTTTGCGCATGCGCGGCCATCATTGTGCCTTTACTTTAACTGTCTTTTTAAAATACTCACATAACCCTTTCTTTGCTATTTTGTTTTTGAATAAAATCCATAAATTGAATTTATAACATCCTTGGTGTTCTGTGTTGGCTTCAGACTTCATCAGAATATGACAGAAATTTCAAGTGGCGCACATCCCATGATGCAAATGAAGACCCTTCCGATATGTCCAGATGGGCTGGGCTTCGATCGGAAGAGCTTGGTGAGAGAAAGTGGAATAAGTAGATTAAAGATGACAATATGGTGCATTTCATATGATAGAATTATCCTTGTATATGTCAATGTTAAAACAAAAGATCTTTAAAGGAGAACTATGGGGTCAGTGTTTTTCCCCATAGTTCTCCTTAGGGTAACGGGAGGACACAAACTAGCGTCCTCCCGTTACCCTAAGCTCAGTATACCGCGAGCTACAGCTCGCGGTATACTGAGACGCCGGAGCGGATCCCGACTTAGACAACGGGATCCACCCAGCTGCGTGAGTGACAGCTGGCTCTGCCTATCTAGAGGCAGAGCCAGCTGTACCCGCCCCCTCCCCCGTCCATTCCGCCAGTGAGTGCTGGCAGATCGGAGCGGGGAGAGGGGAATCTAGCCCCTCCCCCTGTCACGGCAGAGAGCCGTGACTGGATCGAGAGGTGAGCGAACGCCGGTATTTGTTCGCTCACCTCCCGATCTACTGAGCCGACCTGTGACAGTCTCATTGTCACAGGTCGGCTAGAACTATGAGGTGAGTAGAAATCACTCATCTCATAGTTCTCCTTTAAACAGTAGGATCACTCATTGCGGCTGACATATCATGACTATGAGGACTGAAAAAATTACATCTTTTTCCTCTCATGCAAATGTCTGTTACCTAGACTTTGTAAAGCTTGTTTTATAACATTGTAGATAACTGGGAACATGAACAGTGTTCTGGAGAGTAGCTTTAGAATGACATTATTTACTAGAAATACTCTAGGAGATACTACATTTTACTATGTGCTTCCTAGGAAATGAATGTATATACAGTAAATAGTATGTGAGTTCATGGATGTTGGCTGTCTTTGAAAAGGATGAACCAGCTGTGAATAGATATTGGTGCAGCAATGGCAAACCCCAAGTACAGCTGTGCTTACTGGACAGATATAGAACAGTATATAGTGTTCTTAGAATAAAACAGTTTCACTATGCTTATATGGGTTTTCTTCCAATAAAGCATAATGATCATTACCAATGAAGAGCATTTTGTATATTTGGGTTAAAATAAAAAATGTTGGTTTTGATTAACGAGGTCTTTGAGTCTTTTTTGTATATTCTTTATCTCCCGGGCTGTGGAGAATAGAGCCTGTAGTTTCAGTAGACATGGCACATGCATTATCCAGTGCATGAATGAGAAAATGGTAGGTAGGTCAGAACTAACTAAAAGGGGCAATAAAATGGGAGCATCAATGCTATTATGCAAGACAAGAGAAAGAACAGGTAGGTGTGGTACAAAGTAACTAAGAAAGAGGAGGATGGGGTTGGGGGGAGGATAGGAAAACTGGGGTTGGGGTAAAGGTGATACCACCCCTTCATCTGCACTCCTGACCAATGGTCTGAGACAGGGAGTTACGAGGAAGCATTGTGCAAGAAAGCAGTATTTTCCGGTGTGGTGAAAAAGTCTTTCAAATAAAACCAAGTCCATCATCATTTATTATGTGCTCCTACTGGAAGAGATTAGATGCTTTCACATGCATTAATCTTATTAATCGACATTGTTATGTGAGCTGCGCATTCTTGTTTCCATAGCTTAGGTATGCAGCGTCTTGCTGCGTTGATTGTGTGGTAGGCTGGTATGAGGCTTGATAATAGCAAGAACACATGCTTCTCAAGTTATAGGCTTTTGAAGACCCAAGCTTGAATACTGTGTTGGCATGCTTGTGCATTTAGCCCTATACTATTCACAAACACAATTCGCATGCTTGCACTTTAACATTCAGAAGCCTAGACAGCAGCAGGATCCAAACTTCAGCCCTTCAGCTGTTGTGGAACTACAAGTCCCATAAGCTATGGCATGACTTCCAGAGGCAGATGTATGATGGGCTTTGGCTACAGGCATGTCAGATTGACATGAAGTAACCCTTGAAGCATGCATATTTCACATAGGTCTTATTTTAAATAGTTGCTCTAGCAACATTAGTTTCTTACCAATGGAACCCTCGGTTGCCATGATTTTTAACCTGAAAACATAGTATCTTACCAAACCACAGGCACTGTGTTGCATTTAATTACATTCTTTACATTAAAATGTAGGTATAGCCCAAACTTTTTTTTATAGCATATGGATAGAGCAGGGAAGAGTTACAATCCCTTTCAGGTTACTTGTTGCTGTCTGTGCTGCTGGGGAAATGTTCCTTTACTTCCTGTCTTGTAGACACAACAGATAATGAGAGCAAATGTTTCATTTCCTTTAAAAGGGTCCTGTAAGTAGAATTGTGGCTAGGCTATGGACATTTAAATATTTACATAATCCTAACTAATTGTAAATACGCTTTAAGAATAAGCTGCTGTAATTACTGCCACTGTTGAGCAAAAAATATATATATTTTTTTATATGTTGTTTGCATTCTGCTCTAATGTTTTGTTCTCTTGCTTTTAAAGGGATCACTAAAGAGCCAGGCTTTCCTTCAAAGCGAAGAGTTCCTTATTACTACCCACAGATTTCAAAATCATTTCAGTGGAAAGAAAATGATGACTATGTAAAAGAAAGTGTGAAGTTAGATGGAGGTATTGAAAAGGACTCCTTAGTTAAAGAGAAAATCATTACACCAGATGCACCAAGGTTAAAGAAAAAAGCTAGATCCAAGTCAGCAGTGCCTAGAATAGAGACTGATAATGGGCACTCAGCAGCTCCCAGAATGCAGTCTCCTGAAGGCCACTCAGAGGTGGTGAGAACACAGCCTGCCAAGGGTAGTTCACCTGTGGCAGGAATAAGAAATAATAAAGAGGACTATAAAAAAGCGCCTGTGCCTAAGATATCAATTCATCACAAAGAAGCCAATGGGGTAAGCAATAGACTGTACCTTGTTGTTACTGCACACATTATTAATATAAAAGCACTAAATAATGTCTATGAGCAAAAACGTTTAAAATGAAACACAATGAGGGGAATTTATCAAAACTGGAGCAGACAAAATCTGGAGCAACTGTGCATGGCAACCAATCAGCATCCACCTTTCATTTTCAAACCTTAACTAAACAAACTGAAGAGAGAAGCTGCTCCAGATTCTTCTGCTCCAGTTTTGATAAATTGCCTCCAATATTTATAGAAGGTTGACCATTGACTGCAATTTTTACCTTTTGATATAAAATAAAAAGTTACCCCATTCACTGGGTTCGATGTGTAGCCTTATGTCTGCTGTAAATTTTCAGCATGCTTTTTGAGATTCCAGGTTACAGTAGTGATTTTGTTCATTTCTGAATGTTTTCACAAAGCTAAATTATTGTACAATTGCATTGGTAGTATTTGTATTTTTTGGTATGCTCACTATGAAAGCTCATGGCAGCAGGCACTACATGTGCATTATTGTGGCACAGTGTGGGGGATTAAAGTGACATTTAACTCAGGTGTGAAATCTTTAAAATGCATTCCAGTACCCTATCAACAAAAATGCATCTTATTTGTGTATCACTCAGCTGTAGATTCTCAAATCATCTCTGAATTGGTGCTGACACTGTCCTTCCTTCTGGAGGGTGGCTACTTTCAATCCCCATGATCCCTGTGTGTGTTGTAAAATATCCACCACTCCAAGCACACGCCTGTGATGGACTACAATCTCATGTTTAGTTTATTAATTTTGCATTGAAGTTATAGTTTATCACAGGAGTGACCTTGGAGCGGTGGCTACTTTACAACACACACAAGGACCATGTGGAACAAAAGTAGCCACCCTCCAGAAGGAAGGACAGTGTCCGCACCAATTCAGAGATGAATAACTAAATGTGCCGAGCTACACTTTAGTTATTCATTTTTCACGTATACACACTCAAAGTGGGTGTACATTCCAGTGCCTTGTAGCTGTTAACTTGCTTATTGGCGCAGTTCGTTTTTTATATTTACCAATTCAGAGATGATTTGAGGATCTACAGCTAAATGATGCACAAATAAGGTCCAGTATTTTTAATAGTTAGGGTACTTTAATGCATTTTTATGATTTAACTCCTGCATTTAGCGTCACTTTAACAGCACTGTTGGGGAGATGGTGAGAAGTTAGCATTGTTAATGTTTTGGCAAGAAGTGTAAGTGCCCCTTTTTATCTTCGACTAGTTTGGTTACTAATTTTACGAGGAATATTTGCACAAAGTCACAAGCGTAAGCAAAAGGAAAAATATAGCTGGTCAGTTTCTTTAATTCAAACTGGATAAAGAAAGCCTCCCTAGCTTGCATCTTAAATCGTGATTGGTTGCATTCAGACCTATTTTTTATATATACATGCACTGGCCCTGCAAGGCTGAATTTATTCTTGAGGTTTGTCCTGTTTTTAACTAGGCTGTTTTTAACTAGTCTGCATAAATCAGTTTCTAATATGTCTCAATATATATCAACTATACTGAAAGCCCAATTCCAGGCTCCAGCCCTGCTTGCAAATGTCCCCCTTCCTTTTTATTACTTGGGCCTGTGTTGACAAACGTTTGTTGCGTCAAGCGGGTTTTGCACTCCCATACAAGTCTATGGGAATGCACATCCTGCTTGAAGCAGGTTAAACGTAGGTCAGAAGGAGGTCACCTCGCAGGCCAAATGCATCTGTCAATAAATTCTGAATGATCCCTGAAGCATGTCAAAACAAATGCCAAATTGAAACCATCAGCCCAAGCCTGAAGCCTGTCAGCATAGACTTTTTTCAGATGTCTTCAGGTTGGTGCAGTTATGGGTCCTCTTCCTCTTCACCCTTTCTCGGTCCCTGGGTAGTCCTCTGATGATGCAGATAGTAGAGATGACATGGGGGGGGGTACAGTTTATAGACATGGACATAGACTGCCAATATTGCCGTTCATTGCTCGTGTTGCTGGACTTACATCAAGGGGAAATATTATAGTCCAGAGGGTAAAACCTGGATGATGCCTGAACAAGGAAAGTGCTGTCCTTCTAGGGTAAACATAACATGAGGGCATTGTCAGAGAGAGTACTGTGTTCCTTTTAAACTTACAACTTTAACTACTTTGCACCCAGAAAATAAGCAAAATATAATTTGACCAAGGATTCTTAAACCTTTACATACAAAGTGTGTCCTTTAACACTAAGTCATTTTCAATTAAATATAATACTACTTGTAAATACTTTGTTAAAAAAGGTTCACAGAGTTCTGCAGAAAAAAGCTGGCATGAATGTAGAGCCGTCACATCACCCGCTGAGGACATCTGAATATCAAAGGCAGTTTGAAAGAAAAACCGGCACAGAAAATTCACCTTTGCTTGCTGCAGAACAGGTACATTTTGGTATATCATACACCTTGAATGCATTTATTTCTCACTTTATCCATTTATTAACAAATGATAAATAATTTTTGGTCATAGGAAATGTTTCTTTTTTTGTGTGTGATACAATTATATGAAACTCTGGTTTTGCTAAAAAGAAAAATATTTATTTACCATATAGAACTCGAGGGACTATTGGATTACAGGAAAACTGTAGGATGTGTAAAGTCCTTTTGCAGACAAATTTGAGAAAACCCCACTATATGACTGTTCTGTGTTCCTATTCACACAGTATATCTAAAAATAATTTTTTTAAAATGTCTTTTACCTTTTGTTTTTTTGTTTGGTGAAGGCCTTTGTGCAGTTCCCAAAGTACTCGGAGCAGTTTAAAAGTGAAAGTAGAAGGACAAACTGAGGGACAGACTGAGTGTCCTCTCATTAGCACACAATGCTTCTAAGTATTTAACCAGTTGTAAGGACAGACAGTGCTCAAATCTAGATTACAACTGATAATGAAATCTGCCAGCACAGAACATTAACCTCCAGCCCCTCAACATTACATGGGGGGATTTTTAAGCAAGTAAAAAGCACTTGAAAATGGAAGCAGCTATTTTTAAATGTTTGTTATTGCAATATAAATGGGAACATATCATAAATATAAAGCAGGGGTGCCCAGTAGATCATAAAAGCAATGCTGGTAGATCACTGTGCACACCGGGCAAAAAAGTGTGGGCACACCTGATATAAAGTATTAGTTATCTTAATTTGGCTGTAAAATTGGAAATACGCGTTAAAGCAACTCCGTCACTAAATCTAGAATGACAGCGAAATCTTTACTTATATTTACTTATCTACTTGCAAAGCAGCAAGTAAATACTTACCTCTCCACTGCTGGAAATGTTGATATCCTGTTTCTTGTTGCACTCGGGCCAAGTAGTGACATAGGGGTCAGTCGAGGGACCCCAGGAGATTAAAAGTCTTGGTAGTGTCAGTTTCTACAGAGTCTTCTTTGGAGTAAAACATTTTGCTGCCATTTTTCGTTTAGCAACATAGTAAAGTATTTGTTTACATTAGACTTTTTGAATTTTAAAGTTTTCCTTAGACCTAACCCCACTTCCCAACGCTCCCTAAGTTGATAGAGAGGAGCGATGCCAAGCTTGATTTTCAGGAAACTTCAGGTGCCTGTATGCCTGCATTTACTGAATATTTTGGCATACTATTTTCAATGTCACCTCTGCTTATAGATTTTGTCATCATATTTAGTTTGAATTACCAGGTTTGTTACAGGTTTACGGCAACTGGCAAATCCTAACCTCCTAATGATTGCTTGTAGTTACACAATTGCATTTGCCCCACACTAAAATATTAACTACAGCTATGAACAAATATTTTAAAGGCGCTTTAACCCTTTTTGTACCATTTGTAAATGTTTTCTCTTTCAGGTTGTACATAACAAGAATCATTCAGTGCCACCATTTAAATTAAATAATCCTAACATAGAGACGGAATATAATAGTCAGTTTAAAGGATCTCCACCTTCAAAAGGTCCAAAGTTAAGAAAGGACTGGGAGGACAAACATCACACAGAATATGATACAAATCATCATTCTCCTAAAAGAAAGGTACATTTTCTCTGAACTCCAGGAACTCCGGGTAAAGAAAAAACTCACCCTTGTAGTGGGACTAACTGCAAGGTTTAAGCACTCATTTTGTCTATGGGACCTGTCTATGGGAGTTAACTAAAGTTATATTATTCACCTGATCTTCGGCGCCGGCATTCAGCGCTCACCTCTCTGCCCCTCTGCTCCAGCTATGGAATGTCCGTCGGTGTCCTCATGTCTAATGCAGGTGAGTGGACCAAAAGCCCTGCATTGTACATGAGGACAGCAGGGAACCTCCTACAACCTGGAGCTTTAGGATGAAGAGGGGAGTTGTTTTTAATTTCCAGGGTGTGGGTTTAAAGTCCATTTCCACCTTTTGTAAGTGATTAGCATTTATTGTGGTAATGAAGAGGTGCAGTGATGATGTATACATGTGCACATTTTTGTGACTTACATTGCAAGTTTTCTTCATTTTTTTGTGAAGCTTTTTTAAGGCCTGAAGCCTAAAAATTTCAAAATTTTCTCCACTAGAAAATAAGTCTGATACCAGGGTGTCAGTCTGCAATCAGCTGCCCCCCTCCCTGTCACCCACTGAAACATGATCAGTAAACACCAGCTCTGCCTTTACACACAATACACTGTCCGGAGGGGGGAAGATATACACACATTTCTTGCACAGCACAGAGTTAGAAATTTCAATGCGGATATGAAGAGGAAAGCTATTAAAAAATGTAAGTTTCTGTGTTCATATACATCAGCGGCATATGCCCGCTTCATGTACACTTGGTGTACATTGCTGGCAAATGTTTTTTTTTAAAAAGCTCTGCAAATGTGGAAATAGGCTTTAAGAAGAATTAGAGCCAACTAAAATCAATGAACATGCATCTGCTAGCATTAGTCATTATAGCAGTATTCTTTGTTTGTGTAGGCCATTGGAATCATAGGATTAAGGATTAACCCAAAGATTAAAATATTGGGTAGAGACAAGTAACATACTGCTGGAGAGGCAGGGGCTGGCTGCCAGAGCCCATCTCAGACTCACAGGTATGGGAGAGGTGCCCCCTTCCCTGTACCTATGATAGTTATGCTACCGGTCATGAACAATTTTATATTTAACACTGTATCCAAAAAATATTCTTGTTCAAGAAATCAGTATATAATGCCCTCACATTTTTCCATTTAGAAAGTACACTTGCTTTTAGTAAAAGAAAATAAATCAGATTTTGGTGCACACACAAGTTTCTTACTTTATGCTGTATCCCTTCTGCAAAAACTGTTTCTAGGATAAAAAGAAGACGGTTGGTGAAGTGAAGTCAGGTTCTGCCAAAGTGAACACATCTGACATAGAACAGAAAGCAACTGATCAAATAAATATTCTTAAGGAAAATGTTATTAAGCAACTTTACACTCCCACAAAATATAACAGGTAGGCAACCTTTTCAAACTACCTTAATAGACTGATTACTAAAAATCATTACACGTGAGAAATCTTACTGGTTGAAATCGTAGCCAAATAAACTAAACAATTCACATATAACTGACCTATATATCACATGGTGAGTTAAAGTGTAACTATGGGGAAAACAAAAAATGACATACGGTATATGATGCAGTCTTTCAATAGTCTTAGCAACGTGTTTTTTTAAACTTTACTATTACATAGTTTTATTACCTGTTGAACCTGCCAGTATATACATTATTTTCCACTTCTTTTGACAAAATGACAACACTTCTGACCTCATAATGTTTTTAATCTTTTATAATTTTTCATTTTTTTTCTGCAATTAAATCATACAGAAGCATTGTCAGCCTGTGGACAGGAAAGCATTAGGGGTATCAAATGAATTATAACCACTTCAGTTCTCGTCTCTGTATACCCCTTATGGACCAGAACAATGTTTACATTTCCACTATGGACCTGTTTATTTGGCAATATTTTTGTTATTTATTACAGGTATTTTTTATAGTGCCATCAATTTACACAGCGCTTTACCAAGTAGTCATTCATATCAGCCCCTGCCCTCAAGGAGCTTACAATCTAAGGTTCCTAGCTCATATACACATATATACTAGGGCCAATTGAGAAAGGAGTTTATTAACCTACCAGCAAGTCTTTGGAGTACCTGGAGTAAGCCAACACAAGTACAGGGAGAACATGCAAAATCCATGCAGATGGTGCCTGGCAAGGATTTGAGGACCCCACTGCTGCAAGGCAGAAGTTCTAACCACTGTTGAATCTATAGACAACAAGAAATTTAAAAATGTTTTTTTAAAAGATTAACCATATGGGCCTGTTGAGACCATAGTGTATTGCTATGGCACTGCACCACACTAGGTGCATTGTTAATTTAGTGCAACACTATGCTGCGAACAGAACAGGCCCCAAATTACATATACTCAGGGATATACTGTACATAGAGCGGAATTTAACAAACCTGAAGCAGACAAAATCTGCAGCAGTTGCCCATGGCAGCCAATCATGTGAAAAGCAAATTCCACTTTATTTATTTCATCTGCACATACACTATATTGCCAAAAGTGTTGGGACGCCTGCCTTTACACACACATGAACTTTAATGGCATCCCAGTCCTAGTCCGTAGGGTTCAATATTGAGTTTGCCCACCCTTTACCACTATAACAGCTTCAACTCTTCTGGGAAGGCTGTCCGCAAGGTTTAGTAGTGTGTCTATGGGAATGTTTGACCATTCTTCCAGAAGCGTGTTTGTGAGGTCAGGTACTGATGTTGGAGGAGAAGGCCTGGCTCGCAGTCTCCGGTCTAATTCATCCCAAAGGTATTCTATCTGGTTGGAAGCCAGGACTCTGTATAGGCCAGCTAAGTTCCTCCACCCCAAACTCACTCATCCATGTCTTTATGGACCTTGCTTTGTGCACTGGTGCGCAGTCATGGTGGAACAGGAAGGGGCCATCCCCAAACTGTTCCCACAAAGTTGGGAGCATGAAATTGTCCAAAATGTCTTGGTATGCTGATGCCTTAAGAGTTCCCTTCACTGGAATTGAGGGGCCAAGCCCAACCCCTGAAAAACAACCCCACACCATAATCCCCCGTCCACCAAACTTTACACTTGGCACAATGCAGTCAGACAAGTACCGTTCTCCTGGCAACCGCTAAACCCAATCACATCCATCAGATTGCCAGACAGAGAAACGTGAACCATCACTCCAAAGAACACGTCTCTAACTCTGCTTTACACCACTGCATCTGACGCTTTGCATTGCACTTGGTGATGTAAGGCTTGGATGCAGCTGCTCGGCCATGGAAACCCATTCCATGAAGCTCTCTATGCACTGTTGTGCCAATCTGAAGGCCACATGAAGTTTGGAGGTCTGTAGCTATTGACTCTGCAGACAGTTGTCGACTTCTGCGCACTGTGTGCTTCAGAATGCCCTGATCCCGCTCTGTCATTTTACGTGGCCCACCACTTCGTGGCTGAGTTGCTGTTATTCCCAGTTGCTTCCACTTTGTTATAATACCAATAACACTTGACCATGGAATATTTAGAAGCAAGGAAATTTCACGGAACACCTGAATCCAATGATTTGGAGGGGTGTGCCAATACTTTTGGCAATATAGTGTAACTGGATAATTGAAGTGAACCATTCTCAACCACTTTGGTAAATCAGCCTCATTATCACATGCATTAGTTAAAAAAAAAAAAAAAGGTAGTAAGTAGAAAGTTAACCGGACTGAACTTGTGAGAAAATGATGACTTGTCACGAAAGGAAACCTCGTACCTACATTTTTATGATAAAAAGGAGCTCTGCACCTTACAGGTTGACCCAGTGCAGAATTGCAAGGGCAGCATTAGAGCTTTTTTTAGCTACAGCTACTTAAATGAGCGAGTGGAATGTTTTCTTATGAAGAGTGTGGGTCATTTTCAAGAGTGGTTTTTGTGTTTTTTTTTGCACAAAGAGCAGTTATGGAAACATGTAGTCTAGTTAAAAAGTAGAACTAAGTTTTTATCATAAAAAGAACTATAATGGTTAGGGATCATTTTTTTCCCTATACTATATATGTAATCTTGACTTCTCTACAGATCTCTACAATTAGAGTGCACAACAGAAGTTGTTTGCTTTCATACTATCTCTCTTTAACTGAAATTAAATGGGGTGAAGCAGAGAGAGAGGAGAGAGAGGATGAGGCACTCATTGATATTCTCCCTAGTGGAGTGCATTCAGCACTGAACTCTACTTAGGTTAGGTTATTGAGTGCAGGACATACGCTTTTGTGTACAGGTCCAAGCCTTGTGGTGACAGTTTCTGGGTTTCTTCTCACACGGTGGCTACACAGCCTTTGACATTTAATATCCATATCCACCAAAGTTTATCTGATTCAGTCTCTTGATTTAAAGGAGACTTCAGAGTGACATTAGCACTGAAGGGCTATCTCCTGTTTCTCTGCTCTTGCTTAGATGAGAAATGTGTGAACTCCAAAGTGAAGCTCACCACATTTCAGCAGTATCCTAGAAATTAATTTCTCCAAGATGCAGCTGCTAAAGATACTGAATATATATATAACATGTTTTTTTCTATTAATCTTTTATGTTATTGCTGTTTATTGTTACAATGTAGTCCTATTCTGTATGTGTCTGGCTTCCAAATCTGCACAACATCCAGTGAACAAATGTGTCCAGCCGCATTCCAACTCCTGGGAGATATATTGCATGGGAACAGATGCTTCGCCTTGTGTTTTGTATCATAGTGATCAAGATTAGGGCCTGCTGTGCCAACACATTCAGAGCAAGGAGCATAAAGCAGAGGTCAGAATGTGACAAGTTGGTAGACGAGCAGTGCTTGATAATCTAGCCTAATAACAACGAAGTTATAGCATATACTGTATAGGAACTGTGGCATTGTGAGGCATTACCACGGTGTTAGGTGGCCTCAAAGTCACCCAGGGTTCTCAGCCAGAGGGGCTGAGTGGCTCCAGGAAGACATTACTGGTACCAGGAGAGAACTGCCTTTTCAGTTCTTTCTGGGTTTTCTGGATCATAGTTGGGATCCTGGAGCCAGGAGATTTCTTAGAGCTCTGGGTGGGAAGAAATCTCCATTCCTGGGTCCATGCTTTGGTGGTGACCAGCACCTGATTGTGCACCTGTGTACATCCCTCATGAAGTGTGTGCTGGGATGTGTTCAGGGCCCCCCACCTGTGAGTCAGGAGAGCTCCACCCTGGAGTCAGTGTGGAGGCCAGTGCAGCAGGGAGCTGCGGGTTTGTGAACCATATTGAGAGGATTGGCATGTTATTGCCGTTGTCTGGAGGAACCAGACAGTGGCCCTAAAGATTGAGGCCGGAGCAGCAGTGCTGCAAGAGAGACAGATGTCGGTGAGCCCTTATCTGTTATATGCTACAGCAAGCTATTTATGTTGGATTTCGTGTTATGTACCGTTTTGAAAGCAAATAAACTGCATCTTACTTGCACCTCCGGTCTACAGTGGAGTGTCCTTGTTACAGAACTGTAAAACAATGTCCATAAAAAGGTTGACAGGTATCAAGAATCTAAAACTAGATATAATGTACAGTAATACCTTGGTTTACAAGTAACTTGGTTCGAGAGTGTTTTGCAAGATGAGCAAACATTTCTGAAAAATTTTGCCTTGATATACGAGCAATGTCTTGCAATAAGAGCAAAATTTTGTAGAAAAGCACCACCCGAATAAGGCTGTAGCAATGCGAGCAATGAATCTGTTGAACGACAATGCAATGTCACAATTCCGCAAAACCTTCAAAAGGAGGCAACGGCAAGTGTCATTGGATAGATTCCTTGTTAACCACTTGACGTCCGCCTGTTGTAAAAAAACGGACGGACGGCACTGCAGCATTGGCGGGTTGCCGTCGCCAGACGGCATTTTTTTTCTGCTCGCGCGCGCCCCCTAGCGGGCACGCACGGGCAGAAAAGACCCGACCAATGCAAACACACGTTACCGGGTGTTTCACATATAGGTGATCAGCGGCTCCATAGCCCGCCGATCTTGAATCCCGGGATGATGAAGCAGATCTCTGCTTCATCAGCTTCTTTTGGGGTCCACAGGTGACATTAGGGGTCCTAGATTATATTCTGTATTATATTACAGTACAGTATTGTAATAATTTTTATATGAATATTTTTGAGTTGTGGAACAAATCATCTGAATTTCCATTATTTCCTATGGGGAAATTCGCTTTGATGTACAAGCACTTTGGATTACATGCATGCTTCCGGAACTAATTATGCTCGTAAACCAAGGTATTACTGTATCTTAGAATAAGACATGCTCCTCTGTTAATTATAAAGGTGTTAGTGGGTTTGCATTATAGCAATGTCCCCAAACTCCTTGGTAAATCCTAATATGCATAATCATTTATTATGCAGGGTATATTAGGTCTTATATTACTCTAAAAGTTGGTGCTAATTTGACATACATTGACAAAGATGATTACAAATGATAGGCACTGATTGTGACAGGTGGACACAGATGGACTGATACACATCAGCAATCAGAACCTGGATGAGTTGCTACATAAATCTCAGGTCAGTGTGTGATATGACAAGCCACAACAGTCTTGGGAGACACCATGCCAACTTTTTGACAGCTGGATGGGCAGGGTTAATTTGCAGTTTATAATTACAGCATTAAGAATGTAAAAAGAACCTTTTCCAACAGCAGAACATAATACAAATATATTTTACAATAATGCTCGTACAAGCTAGGAGCCTAGATAAAATCAGCGCCTGGCTACAATATGTGATCATAGGCTCTGATTCCTGTTTATGAAAATAGGCAGCAAAAAGAGAGTAAAGTAAACATATGATCATAATTTGTAATATTTGCAATACACATGTACACATGCCTTAACAAATCTCATGCCATAATATTTTGTTTTGCAGGAAAGCAAAAACTGAATATTCTGCAAATTATCTATCCCCTTCAGACTATAAATACAAAGATGGAGCCTGGATGAGAGCAAAGCCTCAAGTAAATGATCAAGTGAGTAAAACGTATTTGTTTAGTTTTTTTAATTGCTCTAATTAGAGATGGAGCTGGGTTGGACTGAATTAAGTCATCTTTTAATGTACCATGTTCAGAATATACTTGGAAATGTTAATGCAATTTGATGCTACGGAAAAATGTTGGTATTACCCATAGAATGTCATCACATTTCCTTTATGTACTATTTACATTAGAACACATCTTAAAAAATAAAAACATAATCTGCTATATTTAACCTTTTACCCTTTTCGTAAATAACTCTTTAAAGGGAAAATCTATAAAGCAGCAGTATGGCCATGGCCACAGAGCCACTATCGCATCTGTTGCCAAGGCTTGCCTGTGTTGGGGGCCCGCTACTTGTGGGTCAGCTGCTTGAAGAACTAAGCAAGTAAGGCCCACTCGCTGTTGTCTGTCTGTGGGAAAGAACATCTGCCTGGGTATTTTTGCCCCAGGGATGTATACTGCTGATAGGTCCTGCATATTTTCCAAGTCATCCCACCTCCCTCAGTAGCGATACACTGCAGGAGGACCCCCCCAGCTCCTTATATGAAAACCAGTTGACAGACGTGAATGGCAATTTACCCTGTGGGTCCACCACTGCAAGTTGTCCTTCATTTTCTGAGACATTCTCTGGTTAAGACTGTCCTTGTCCCAATGACTTATGAAGCCATGTTGAAAAGGCCTGAGGTGCCATTGGGCCCACCTCACCATTGCTATAGCTGCCACTAGTGTCCCCACCACAGAATAATTTTATTGAATTGAATTTATGACTGCCTGAGTTTTGAAGCAGGCTCCCAGCTAGGTCAGACTTTGGGACTGGAGCAGATTGCTCCTTTTGTAATTCACAAACCAGCCAGAACCCCCTAGGGTGGATAATACCTGGTCTCGGTGTTGAAGAAGAGACTGTTTGTTCTGACCTACCACAAGAACCTCGTTCAGGTAATGATTACCTGGTAAGGGATCTTTCACCAGCCATTTTTGGCGGATGGGTTGGCCATTCATGGTCTTAGCCAAAGTGCCTGCTTTGCATTCACTGCAAAAAGCAAGGAATGTGCAGAAGCTCGATTAATTGTTATGCCCTCTTTAGTCTTCATAGTCTGCTGACAACTTCAGCTCTTCCAGAGAGGTGACCACACTATCAGATGCCAGTGAGAATTACGAACAGCATTATCCAACCAAGCACTAATGGCTTTTGCTACTGCTGTCAAAGCCACCGCAGGTTGGCAGGCCACACCTGAAGCTACATAAATCTTCTTAGACCACATCTACTCTTTGATCTAGCATATCTTTGAATGTCACTGCGTTGTCTAGCAGGATTGTGATATGTCCTACCAGTTGTATGGGAGGCGCATCACCCAGTTGTGGATTGACAAAGATGGTTTTTGTTCTGCTGAAGCCCATTCATCCAACACTAGCTCCTTAATCTCCTGCAGTGTAACTTTTTTTCTTTTAGAATTTTCTTTTTTGGTTGTGTAGTTTTCTCCCACTGTAAGGCTTGCTTTATGGCTTCCACATATGATTGTACTGAGGATGAAATTGAAGCCTGCTAAAATCAGCTTATCCGTGCTCTCTTCTCTGCTTTTTCAATAAAGGAATGTGAGCATTCGGGGGATCTAACATTTATAGTAATATGGTCTCATGGGGTTATCTGGGAGGAAGGGCTAACCCTTGTTAGTGTGTTGCTATTCAGATGTCAGGAAAAGGACTTCTGAGTTAAAATATTGATACTGAATACTGGAATAAAAGCTTTCAATGGCTAAATAACTATTTAATGCAAAATACAGTTCTACCACCATTTGATAATAATGTATGTGAATCTAACATTTTTATTTGAAAATTAAGAGTGCAATTACAATAACTAAAGCTGCAACTTCATATGAAATTATAGGCAAGAGCATAAAAAAATGTTAGTAAGTAGTAATTGAAGCCCAAGTCTACTAATTTTGAGGGTAGAGTTGAGCTTTAATATTTTTTTCTTCTAAGAGCTGTTTCTTATGTTTCCAGTAAAAGGCTTGAGAAGTACACAATGGTCTTGATTTTTCATGCTGTGATAGTGCTTATGGCTTGTCAAAGTGATCTGTCAAACCATATTACATGTTATAGAGAGACCATAAGTGTCGTCACAGCTTGATGATTTAGGACCATTGTGATCATTTCACTTAACGCATTTTTATTTCAACAATTGCTCTAAGAGAAGTATTATGTTTTTCTGCATCATTTAAGTGACGCCATGAGCACTTACTGCAGTCCAACAATTATCTAGTATCAGTAACTAGAATACTTGGCTAGGTGGCAGCAACAAACTGTTTCTTTTTTCCAGTTGATGCTAATGTTGTGGTTATAAATGATGATTTGTTCTGTGTTCCTTCCTTTAGGACTCTCCTCTCAGTGTAGGCTCCATGTGGGTCGCTGAGGTTGGTTTGTTCTCTCCTGAAACTATTTTACTTTTCCATAGTAACAGTGGTTAAACACTTTCAGTGCAGACTAATCTGCTAGTGCAGATTTTTTTGTAGGTTTTTGTTGTGTGATGTATGTTCACTGATGTTTTATCATGTTTCCTGAGTACAAATGAAGATAAAACACACATACATGCAGATGTTCTGATTTTTATTATTATGTAAGCATATGCTGTTATCTACATTATATTGTTCATAAAATTTAAAGTGTAATTTAAAATAATACACCAAAACTATGTAAAGAGGTAATGGGATAAAGCGCACTCTAATTATTGGTACACAAGTGGCTATTTTATTGACTGACTATTCTCTGAAGACGAAAACATACACAAAAGGAAAAAAAAAACAATATTGTCTGCATTCCCTGGGGAATCATAACCCTACAATAATCATATCACACATAAAGTAAATAGGTAATCGATTTCCACCAATAGTGTATATATAAATATCAACCACAAGACAGTAACGCCAATTACTACATTGGCTATGTGTCAAATATATAATCACTTCTAACAAAAATAATGTTAAATAAAACGATTAGCTTCATCCCAGACACTACTGTAAGTGCTGAATTTCCAGCGCTGAGACTTACAGTCCCAGCTCTCATACAGTTAAAAATACTGGGGCGCTCATTCTCCACATTCCTCGTCCGTTTTTCTTTCACAAAACCTCTTATATTCTTTTCACAGAATACAGGGCGTTCTGTGAATGGACACTGGAGGATTCTGACGTTCATATGTCAGCCCCGTGTCCAATCATATAACACCTCGTATTTTGTGAAATAAGTACAAGATGTTTTGTTAATAGACAAGGGGAGGGGAAAGTAGAGAATGAACGACCCACATATTTGCAGATCCTATACTTTCCACGTTTGTACATCTATTTCTTCCTACCACAATTTTCTCTTTTAACCATTTCATCCCCATTGTTGTAGTCCCTTGAGCTGATAGAGTGGGGCGAGGACCCACTATTTTCACTATTTTTGGTTCTATCAATAAAACCTGCTATTGATTTGGCCGGGAAGCCAGCTCTATGCTCCCTAGTCACTTGTGTTGTGACGAGAGAACATGGAGTCGGCTTCCCGGCCAATCAGGAAGCCGGGCAGCGTGCCATTACACGCCCCCCCGGCTTTCTGATTGGCCAGAGAGCCGGCTTCATGCTCCCTCATCACCTGGTGATTGCCAGGCGCCGCGTAATGACGCGTTGACGCAAGTCTTTACACGCTGCCTGGCTTCCTTAATGGGACTTCCGGTATTCGGCATAGGTGAGTACCAAATAAAAAATATCGGTACTCGATACCGAAAAAACGGTATCAGTGCATCCCTATTTTAAATCATCGAGTGCTTTTCTCTGTTCTTCTGATAATTGACCCTAGTAATTGACGACCAGTTGATGTGTCCGAGATCATTGTAAACCAAGTCCAAGAACCCTTGACATAGTTTTTGTGTGCACTTTATTTGTATTAGAGGTGGAATCATTACAGGCTTTTTCCCTTTTACATTTTTATAATGAATTAAGCACACTGTTTCTCTTTTGTTGGCTAGGTAAAGGAACTGCGAGAAAAAGCTGAATATTATAGACGCCGAGCTCAAGGGACTCATTTCTCCCGGGACCACCTTAATCAGATAATGTCTACGGACAATAAATTTTGGGATGTGTCTTCTACCTCAAGTGGGGAGGAAGATATGAGCAACAACATTAAAGCTTTAGATTTGGCAGGGTATGTTTGGCACCTTCTTTTGTAGTTTTACCTATGCAAATTGTCTTCTGTATACTGTGTGCATTGCTCTTTATGGGTGTACGCCCCATCACTATAGGATATGTTTCCTTTCAATACAGGTGTGAGGTTATTTGAGCAAGCTGTATATAACACTTTACTTACCTAGAGCCTCACATCCAGTGTCATACTTACTGTAATAAGCTCCTCCAAAAACTGCTAGCATAAGTGCCTGAAATTTTTCTTTATATTATCTTAATGTCATGAGTCTCTACACAGGAGAAATCAGAAGAAACGTGGTAGACTATGCATTGTGAGTCAGTCAGGCTCGGTAGCATTGCAAACTGCTGCCATTATAACATGTTTTCAAGCACCTGAGGCTGAAGAAAGAGCTGTTTAGGTAGCTAACACGAGGAGAACACAGGGAGGTGGGTTGAGGCTCATTCTTAGTCGAATAAGTAGGCAAATGACACAGGAACCTGAAAAATTTCAATAGTGAATAGTGCTGTCAATCTGGCTATGCAGTATGGCAGGGTTATGTAAAACACTGGCTCAACAGAATTACCAATCTTTGAGTAGGTAAAACACCTCACATATAGTATGTGCTTTTCATCTACATGATGAGCTGTTTAGCTGGAGGTCTGATAGGTGTAAAACCTGTAAAAAAAATCTGAATTACTTTTAGTGACAACAGTAGATCATGCTGCTTGTAGCCTCAGTTAGGAGAGCATGTGGCAGGGTGACAACACAGCAACACAACCGGTAGACTGTGACAGAGCATTGTCACCCTATATCAGGAAGTGCCTGAATAAGGACTTTCATGGCAGGATCCCGAAGTATTATTTTATTGAAAGCTCCAGATTTAAAAAATATTGAAATAACAATAACATGTTAAAGCCTATATGAGATTATTAATTGGGTTTACAGATACTTTAATGAGCGAGAGAAAGATATCATGTTATGAGAAAACTTTTAAATTTTTTACAAATTGCAATTTTGCTTTCTTTTTTCACTGGTTCTATAGTCTACATAGTTCTTCAAGGAATGAAAGCAAACATCAGTCACCAACCAAACCTAAAGCTGCCTCCAATACTGGTATTCTTGGGGTTTCGGATGTTCCAACCCTCACAGTTAGAAGAAAACTAGTTTGGGATGAATATGAGGACACTGAAAAAAACGAAGATGTAACACCGTTGGGAACAGATGATGAGGCAGAAGAAGTTGCTGATGCAGAAGATAGAGTTGAGGTCGAGGAAAATGATGAAAAATTTCATGAAGACAATAACAAAACAAGGTAATCAAGTTACCCAAAATAAACTATTTTTATACTTGTAACCCCTGTACAACATTTCTTTTTATTTGTTATTGGTATTGATAATATGTTATTTCTTTTGGTTGTCTCATGTGCTTTACTTATTGAGTAATAACAGCAAAAACATTCCCCTTAATCACACTTCATGTACTGTCTGAATCTGCACTATATTCCAGAAGAGGATAATCGTAAAACACAGTCGCATTATCTATTAAAAACTTAACTTTATCCGGCACATAACTTATAGACGTCCTCAAATATCCCCAGAATTATAATCAGAGAAAAGTCTTACCACATACCTAAAATAATGTCCCCAAATCTCCCTCCCAGGGTGCTTTGCCACAATTCACCTTTTTAAGTAAAAGTGGCGTCATAGGATTTATGACATGGTGGTGTTACATGCCAGACAGACAGAACTATATTTCTCTGTGTGCACCTAATGCAGGTCTGCATAACATCATCTTACTTTGCGTATAATGGCTGACTAGTAAACTATAGCAGCGGTTGAAAGATAAGTCAATAGGCAGGAAGCCACATTGAGGTAAAACTGTAAGGGGCATATATATATATAAAGCAGCAAATGTGGCATTCACCAAACCTTTATTGGAGGTGTATCTTACTGGTGCATGTGTTTAAAATTACAGTAAATAATTCATCTGCAGTTAGGACCAATTTTTTGTGCATTGTGTTAAGGCAGTCCATTCATTTCAGTAGGCTGTAAAGGGCAGGAGCGTATAGCTCCACTTTAAATTAGCTTGGTACATATTTGTGTCTACAATGTACACGGAGAACTTAATACGTTCTAAAACATAGCCCTACCAACTATACATTCAGCAGGATCAATGAATTTATCAAAACTGGAGCAGACAGAATTTAGAGTAGTTTACCATGGCAACCAATCAGCGTTTGTCTTTCATTTTCAAAGCTTAACTAAACAAACTAAGCAGAGAAGATGATTGGTTGCCATGGGCAACTACTCCAGATTCTGTCTGCTTGATAAATTCCCGCCATTGTGTTTCTAAATTGTAACTTTGTGTGTCTTGAGTGTAGACCTTCCTGTTCCTTAGTCTCTTAGTAATGCTTCCATCAATGACCATATGCAGAGCCACTGTTGCAGTGCACACAGCATATTGTAGTTCCCTGGCTAGCAACTACATCTCTGTCTTGGGATGTAACACCATCATGCCATAAATCAAGCCACTTTTATTTAAGCGAATGGAAGAAAAACCATGGAGCTGTCATACTGAACAGGCCACAAGGGCTATGGAGGCCTTATAAGCTGTGGGGTAGGTCCAGTAGCATGGACAGCTTGAAGTCTGTATCTGAGGTTGTTTACTGTATGTTTTAACATGGGGGGGCTTAACTGAAAGTCTCACATGGGCGGTGAGGGGGCAGTAAAACCACATAGTTGATATGCAGGTTCACGACCCCCCAGCTGCCTGCTGCAATGTCAGCACTGTGGCCGTACAGTGCTGGATACATTGCTGCGGCTGCAATTCTTTGCATCACGAAAAAATATATACTCTATGTCGCATTTTACAGACGGTGCCACTTGTCAATCGTGGCAATTGAGATGAATGGGATCATACCACAATCGCGTGGGTACACGTTTGAAGCGTGTTACTTCAATGTCAAATCCAATTTGAATTTTTAAAAACAAACTTCATTCAGGAGGTGGCAGTGTCGCCTCCTGAACATCGTGCAGCCACTGCTCCACCACCCTGAAAAGCGATCCACTGCAGACATGACTGGATATTTGTAGAAAACATTCACACAGTTTATTGTTGCTATATGATTTTCAGCTGCTTTAGTAATGTAGCCTCAGTCACTATATCTATACAAACTGAACTTATAAATGACAATCATTTTAGAATGGATAGAACAGCGCTATCACCTGACGTTGAAGAAGTAGATCTCAGCAAATCCACTAAAAGGAGATTGAAGTCATAAAGGTGCTGCAGTTGCAGTCTGACTTTTTTCAAACGGTTTCTTTTTTTGACAGCATCATAAAGGGAACTCCCCAAGTCAGTATGTGGAATTGCCCTTTGAGAAATGCCACTGCACCTTTCTTTCCCCCTTGATAAGTGAATCATAGTGTGACTGTAGAGGCTTCAGAGCTTTGTAAAAAATAGATATATGCATCTGTACACATATATGGTACATTACTATTTATTTTCCATATATATTTTATGTTACTTTAATAAATATCTCAGTTGCAATAAGTAATAATATTTTTGCAATCTATTGCGATAAAGTATTTTTTCTTAATGTCACAACTTTTAATAACACTTATGACGTGATTTGACAGTATTAACAGGGTGAATAAAATACTACATTAAATCTCCACATATTAAGACAGAGATAATAGAAACCTAAGGAGATTGTGTATTGTTCTCACAAATTTCCACCAGTTACCTTAGCTGTAACCTCTATTTTGCCAGTATCGATGTTAGTATGCTCATATAGTATCATTGTCTTCTTGGAGAGGTAGCAGTTTTGTGACTCAGCAGGAAGAGGTAAAACTCAGCATTCACCATAACACGTAGCGGAACAGCTCTCTAAACCACAAAACTCAGCTCTAATGTCATAAGGAATGGTTAGTTTCTTTTCTAATTTTGGTTCCTAGTTTTTCTGGGTGCTAGTTCCTTCTAATGGAAATTCCACTTCAAAGTAAACTTGCCATATGAAGCGGCTTTCTTAGCATGGATTCCATTAGTCATTTCAACTGGTTTCCTTACGCTGGCTGTATTCACTGGTCTTTTTTCGAAGTTTTGCCAACTGGGCCACGCACTGCTCAAACTGCATCTGAGTCTGCAGGACTCTTCATAAATGTATGAAAAGTAGCCTTTGATCCTATTATATACTCATTATAAACTATAGAAAATATTTTAACATATTGCTAGTGTAACTGTTTGAACTCTGTCTTTATATTATCTTCCCACAGATCCCAGCTTAGAATTAAACGTAATGATAAATTATCATAAATCGATCATAGATCATTAGGTGTGGTTTTGCAGGTAAACTAGTTCATGTGAAATTATTTCAATATTTATCTGTCTGTTTAAAGTTTCACTTTATTAAGCTTATTAGGCAGAGCCCTGCAGTTCATTCCTCTGTTGCTGTTTAATAGTGTAGATGCAGTTTAAAATGTAAAACAATGTATCCCAATTTGAAATGACTGCTTTGGACTTGTAAGAGCTCTTGATATGATATGATATGGACACCATGTTTTGGACACCAACATGATATGGACACCATGTTTTTTTTTAATGGAATTGTACCAGGGGAATCTATCAGACAGGATACCAATTATGATAATATAAGATATACCAAACCAGAACACTTTGCAATGTCATCTTGCCTTCTGTCACCACGAATACAAAAAAATAATAGGTTTATTTTTCATTTAGTGGGCAAAATCATGCAGATCTTTTGTTTATGCCACAAAAAAAGATTTTCGGTACGTGCACACTTGTCTTTGGACCATGGGTTTGCATCATGCTTGCATTGCATTTGCATTTTAACACATTTTTCCCAGGTCATTTTGGAGATACTGTGAGCAGTCCTCTGCTATCCTAGGCTACCCATATAAATTAGATAGTGGTCTGAGGAAACAGGTAGTATTCAGTAGAGCAGTTATTCATTCATTGAAAGATCTTTCTCACATTATATGTACTGGCCTATGGGCACACTTACTTGAGCACTGCACTTTCTGTCTGGGTGCAGTACACACAGTAGTTTACTCTGCAACTGTTCACAATGGAGATCACCCAGAGCAAATGCAATGCAAGTGAAGTCCATCTATCAGTGTGCATGATGATTGTTAGGTGTTTGTGAGCAAAAATGTTGCACATCTACACTACACTGAAACCATACTTCATCCTGTTGCTCATTGAAGTGTGTTTTGTGCACATCAGATGATCTTTGGCTGGGAACCGTTTTTAGATTCTGCATAAAGTGACTTTGTCACTACTGGTCAAAGCAGCAAATAACAATACCCGCTAAAAGAAGTAATAGTATACTTACCTTTCCTGCAGCCCATGTCTTGGATTGCCGCTATGATGCTGCACTCTGCCTGCTGCAATTCTTTGGCCAGCAGGATAAGTAAAATACCTATTTCCCCAGTCGCACACAGTGGTATTTTCCACAACCTGGTATGTCTTGTAGTAATGTATGAGCTGGTGGGAGGGGGCACACTGGGTGCAGTGCGAGTAGTAGGAATTCACACATCTGTAAGTGTAGAATACTTGCAGCATGTGGGGAGCAGTGAGGCCACAACATTTTGTGTAGTGACAGGGTCACTTTAAGAATGCCTACTATGGTTCTTATGTTAGGTTAGAGGTTTAATTAAAATCCAGGCTCCCCTAATTAATATTCAAACACTAGAGTCAGACTGCCAGTGCTAAGAGAGTAGAGTATTGTACCATGTTAGACATTGGTAAAAACATCTAACTAATTGGCTGCTTAAAAAAAAGACACATTTATAAAGCACAGTGATGCGCTTTGTGAATAGCTCTCAGCTTCACTTGTTTCAGGTCTCATTAATGAATTGGAAAAAAAAGAAGGCGCCAGGAGAAGTGGAAACAGATCACATGACCTGTCAAAGTCTTGACTGACCTCTCCTCCTATCATGGATAGCATTATACAGAGAATGCTACCAGTAACACGGCAGGTTTCACACCTCAGCCTGCATTTTAAGAATGAGTCAGTCACAGAATTGAGTAGACACTGAGGTGTCCTGCAGAGCCCCATCAGCTCTTTGTTTATGAGAGAGCCTTAAGTCAATTAAATCGACAAGCTTTCAAGACAACTCTGGTCTAGTCTTCAGGTTTTTTCACCATGCCTAAAGGAAAGACCATTGCTGCAAGTGAAAACCGTTCTAGTGTTGGATCTTCGGGCTTGCACTAGTCTATTTATTTTTTATATATCTCTTATCGCCTACGTTTTTTTAAATCTTACCCAAATGATTTTTTTGCTGATACTGACCTGGATGTGGAAAATAACTTCATCTGGATGAGTAGAGGGACTATACCTGTAGATGAGCTTCTGATAAAATGTGCAAGATTGATGAAGACAATACCACCCATTAGCACATCACTAGATGTGAACCACCGCTGTAGATTCTAAGAAGGTGGTTTGTTATTCCCTCTTATGTAGATTGGCAGATATTAACATACACAGATTCTAATGGAATGAAGATATCTCAGGCTTATGTAATCTCTGTTGGTCAGGACAGTGACTCAGAAAATAATGAAGCCTTAGTATAACTATAGCACCGAAACCCTCCTTTTTTCTCTTATAACAGATTTTATATGGATTTTGATAAATCATTCCCTGCTAATCTGGATTAGATAAAAGACAGGTGTAAAAGTAAAAGAGAAAGTGCAATATTGAGAATAAAGAGTAGACTGTGCGAAACCTACACTGACAAACTGTGAAATTACTAATGCAAGCCTGCTGATGTCTGCAAATGTTGGTTTTATGACTGTGCTAAGGCAAAGCTCAGAAAGTTGCAGATAGAGCACTGAGAAAAACCATGAAAGTTTAATCTTCAGAATATGAGACAATTACTGACAGTGAAACTATAACATAACAGTTTGTTGTAATTTGAGAGAAACCACAGCCTTGATTTATTTAAAAATGTTTACTTTAAATTGAAATTGTATCTTAAAAATTTGAAGCTCATGCACTTCTTTTGATGCATGGGTCATACACGGACAACTATGACATTTACTATGTACCTGTGAGTTACAATGGGGGTTATTCACTAAGCTGCTAAAGGCAGCGGAGCAGAAGTGAATGGAGCCGAAAGTCGTTCGTCTTTTCACTTCAGACAAGTATTTCGGCTGGCCTTGGCTCCCTTCGGCAGACCATTCTCCCCGCTTTGGCTGTGTGTTCGGCTTAGTCGAGCCGAAGCATATGCTGAACCGATGGGCTACGGCGGCCAAAGTGAGCTGTAGGATTAGCCGAAGCTAATAGGCTATATCCTTTGGCTCTTTAGTGAATATCCTCCTATATGTTTTTTTCTGTATCTGGACCAGCACTATGGTTGTTTGACCACATCCCTATATTCACAAGTAACAAGTAAGGACTATCTACGACTGGGACTTTTCAGGTGCCACAATGAATTACAATTCAAACTTGGTAGTTAAAATATCTCTTTTTGTGCTTTCTATGCCATTGAAGTACACTAAGGCATGGGCATGCCAATATTTTACCGGACAACAAAAAAAATTAAATCTAAAAACAAATGTAACATGCTCGCTACACTATCATATGTGGTCATGCCAAGAAAAACAGCAGGTCAGAAAACCCATGCACCCTGCTGTTGGAGGAAAAAAGTTAGCATACACACAGGTATCAGATCCTCCATTCCACGCAGGAGCGTATGAAATTGTGTATGAACATATGCTGTGACCACATCAGGCATATCTGCACTTTCATACTCCCTGTACAGTGTGCAGTATAGATTTATTGTTTTGTTTTACAGTCATCTTTATTTATATCAGTATACACTTCATTCAGTTGTGTTCTTTCATGAGATGGGCATGTTAAATCACTTAAGTTAGAAACACTTACAAAGATTAGAGAAAATCATATTGGAATTTTAGGCATGCTGCTGCCTAGCTAATGTACATTCAGATTGTGTAGCCTATACTTCATAACAAACAATGCATGTTAGTAACTCATTGGCATATTTTGAATATCATCATCGTAACTATCATCAAGATTTAGATTAGTTTATTTATTAATAAATGTGTACAAATAAGCAGCATTAATTGTATGTTCAACGTGCACAGCAAACCACGACTGCACTGTACACATTGAACATCAGTGTATGATTTGCTGCCTAGGCTAGCTGATGAAGTTCATTGAGCGCGTGCTCATGCGGGCCAGACATACAAGTGTACTATACCGATTTATCCTTGCGCTTCTTCATTTCCTTTAGTAAATCAGACCCTTGTATTTTTTGGCCATTTTACCATGTGTTTTTCAGACCACTCAGCTTGATGTTATGTAATTAAATAGTCATTAAATTATTAGGTCATAGATCCAGCTTTATTTTTTTTGTTCTTTCTACAGATGTAGTTGATGCTACCTTGTTAGTGCTGTTCCAGAATCTAGCTCAAGTGTCTATTTCTAGATTATATTACTGATAAAAAGAAGTAGTAGGTGGCCTGCTGCTTTACAGAAATGCTTACTAGAAAAACTAAAGTACTGAGCAAGTAGGTTATCCTCCCTGTTTGCTTCTCCGGGCTTCATTTTCAATTTTGACCGCAGTAAAACCTATGAAGTAGAATGAAGCCAAAACCAGCATGAGGAGCATGGGGCCAAAGTGAAAGACTTCCACTGTTGATGGCTCCCAGTTTTTGATTTGACCTGCAGCTAGGTCAGGTTCATGTCAACAGCCTTGATATCATCATATAGGCTTTGCCACCAGGAGCCTCTGGGTCTGCCTCTCCTGCGCTGTCCTTGGGGATTCCAATCGAGTGCCTGTCTACAGACTTCATTTGCAGCCTTTTCGTAAGGTACATCCAATCCATCTGCATTTATGCTCTCGGATCTCTGTGACAACCTGTATTTGGTGGCACCGCCAAAGAAGCTCTATATTAGAGATCCAATTTTTTTAAAAACAGGAGCTTTTGTGTTGTTTCCACTGAGACTCTCCATGTCTCACTCTCATAAAGCAGCACAGATTTCACATTAGAATTGAAGATTCGGGTCTTAGTATGAAGACTAATCTGGTTCGAATGCCATATGTCACTGAGGCCTGCAACAGCGCCTCAGGCTTTTCTGATCCCTATGGATACGAGTGGAAAGAATAAAGGATATCAGGAATAAAGGAAATAAATAAAAGAATCAGCTTTTTTTGCCATCTGTGTCCAGCTGGGGAGATTTCCTTTTGACTTCCTGTCTGATAGCCTCAACAGGAATTGAGAGCAAACCCCTCCAAAGAGAGGGAAATCCCTGATGGTCAGCAGGGTCACCAGAACTAGTGTCCCCACTGGAAGATTTCCCTTCTATTCCTGTTCTGATGACAACCCAAATTTTGGGACTTTCACTTTGAGTGCTAACGGGCATCAGGACAAATAGGGTGAATCTCCCTAATGTGGCCACAGAAAGCAATAAAAACCTGACAGTAATCCTTCTCTACTCTATCCAAAACGATAAAAAAGCTTTGGCTTCAGTTGCACGTTAATTGGATCTACTGTCCAAGTGTCAAAGCATTGTCTGCCTAGAGTTTGAAAGAAAATGTGGACTTTGGTTGTTGATTGAACAAATGTAGAGGTATTGTACGTCTTTTATGGAAGATTTTAGACCTAATTATGATTACTGTTTTTTTATTATTATTATTATTGAAGACCCTATGGCAAAAAATCCAGTTTATTAGAAGACGAATCTGAACGTACCTCAGTAACTTCAGGAGTTGAAGGAAGACTTCCTACTCCAAAACTGAAAACCCTTGGATTGGTTCAGAGGACCCATCATGATCTAACCACTCCAGCCACAGGTAATGTTTTGCTGAACACAGTGCTATCTATGTACTCTGTATTCATCAAGATTGGCATTCTTTTACTTCTTTCCAGGGGTTCCCCTAGACCCCCCACTTCCTGAGAGTTTGGAATGCTGTTGGTGCACGGGGGTGGTTACCTCCAGCATCCTGGCTAGCTTACTTACATCACTGGTTGCCAGGAGCTGGGCAGGATGCCAGCCACAGTGTCCTGCTCAGCTCCTGGCAACCAGGGACATCGCTGGTTGCCATGAGCTGGATGGGACACTGGCCAGAGCATCACAGGTTGCTAAGAGCTCCACATGACCTAATGAGATGCTGCCTGAGGCAACTGCCTCATTATAGGGATGGTCTTGCTTCTTTCAGTCAGTTTGCTGCACTGTTGGAAAAAATAAATTTGTATATTCTACCACATGAATATGTTTTCCAAAAAATCCATGTTAATAAAATGTATATTGGCGTGTAATTTATGTAGATTGCTACTGTGGGTCAGATTGGCCATTGAAACTACCCGAAGATTCTCTGGTAGACTACAAGTAGGGGACTTAATAGCTAGAGTTATTAAAGAAAATGGCAAAAGTGGTTTTATCATCCATTTATATACTATCTAATGTCAATACTAAATAATGTAGCATTTATGCAATGGAATGAAATTATATATCCCATTCATAAAGCATTTTTTTTAAATGTGTGTTCCACAAAAATATGGATTGAAAAGTGAACCTTGCTCTGGACATTCAGTAACATGGACTGGAAGAAGAATGAATGGACTAAAAGTGTGGTGACATCACTGCACTTATATTCCATTGAGGACTGCCGGTCGCTCTGCCTCAGTGGCTGATGGGAATTGAGGTTTCTCTATTCACAGATCCTGCCAAAGGATCTGTGAATGGATAACGTGGCTGTATGGACGGAGCCACACACAGCCACACTGAATTCAAAATACAGCAGCAGCCTACGTGGAGAAGAAGCCCACGATTTAGGTAAGTGGTGGGATGGCACTGATGTGACCATGTTTCATGTTGCACCCTAAATATTGGTGTAACATGACACATGGTCCAAAATGTGAAGTTAGCCTTTAATGTAATTAAGTTTTAATCTAACCTTATGTGTGCATAGTTGTAGAATGAAAATGTAAATTATTTTTTTTTGTTTTAAGGGGGAGCTCTGTTAGTTTCCCCTTCAAAGAATCAGCAGCATACACCAGAACATAGTCAGAAGAGATCTTCTAAAAAACATGGCTCCCCAAAGAAGACGGTCTCCAAAGCTGTAAACGAAAGAAATGGAAAAAGGGTAAGGAAAATATATCATTCTCGAAATCACAAAGCTGTGGGTATTCGGTATAGAGCAGACATAGAACTAGATGGTCATATTGCATGGGGAAGGTCTTATGACACAATATTGTGTTCCAGTTCAAATACCAGTTCATATACATGTTACTCATGAACTAGATAAGACCATAACTTTGTCATAGGAAAATATATGTCAAGATACCAAGAATGTGAAATAAGGGACCCTTATACTAGAAGACTGACATCAAACTGAAAGTAAATTATGGAAATTCTTAGTGATTTAGGCTGGCACCACAATCATCCCATACTCTATGACTTTTTAGAATATTTGAAGTTGGAACATAAGTGTCATCATATAGCCTCTAATACAATGTCTCTGACCAGTGACAAGTATGGAAATCAGGACTTTTTGACTTTACTATGATTTCCTTTGCTACACATTTTTTCAGGTCATTGTTTCAGAAAGTATTGATATTTGACACATCCTGACAGTTATCGTATCAGATGGAGGCCAGAAATGGCAGCCCCCATATTTCAGCCAGTATAGGTTTCCTTTTGTAGAGAACTAGTCAGGAATGGGCTTTTGTAAGAATTGGAATCTCTACTTCTCATTTGTTCTCATGGTGCAGCCTTACTTCTCATAAAAAAACTACCCCTGAACATGTAAAATAATACACCCCCCCAACCACTGCACACATAAAAACATACTACCCCTGCACATATAAAAAAAATACTACCACTGCACATATAAACAAAAATACTACCCCTGCACATATAAAAGAAAAATACTACCCCTGCGCATATAAAAAAGAATGCTACCACTGCACATATAAAAAAATACTACCCCTGCACATATAAAAAAAAATACTACCACTGCACATATAAAAAAAATACTACCCAGCGCACATAAAAACATACAATCCCTGCACATATAAAAAAATACTACCCCTGCACATATAAAAAATACTACCCCTGCGCATATAAAAAAGAATACTACCACTGCACATATAAAAAAAATATACTGCTACTGCACATATAAAAAAAGAACACTCCCCCCATCCCCATAAAAAAAAATACACCCCCCCTCCCATATAAAATATTAATGCCCCCCACCGCACACCCACATATAAAATGAAATAAAAATCAAATATGCAGCCCCCTCTCCTGCTTACCTTTTTGCAGGGAGGAGGCTGTGAGGAGCCCCAATCGATCCCTGGTGCTCTAGTGGCGATTAGTGAGGTCTGCTGCAGACCTCACTAATCGATCCTTTTTTTAGGCCGGAGCTCAGAACTGAGCTCCGGCCGAAAGGATCTCAGTGCCTTGAAGAGCAGCTCTGCGGCCTGCATCCGATCGAGATGACCGTGTAGCGCTGCTCCCGCAATTCAGGTATGTGTTCCGTGACCGCGTACCTGACTTGTCACCTGTCTGCAGGTGCGGGCCGGTACTTTGAGACCGCTGGTTTAGGTAGTACACAGTTTGGGTAAATCTTTTTGGGTAAATGTTAAGTTGACTGTACAAAGATATATACGCTCAAATTGTAAGGTGTATAGTGACCCTAACACTCAGGGCTTCATTTATAAAACTGACGCCAGGTGGATACCATTTGCTCAGCGCTGTTTCCAAGAACCACACTAGCGCCCCTGAATGGCGCTGATGAGTACCGGAAATACCTGTACTCGTGGCACTACTGTCATGCAGTTTTATAAATGGAGCCCTCAGTCTGACACTTCTACAGGGTGTATGCAAATAAATATTAAACAGCAAGTAATCCCTCAAAGGTGAAGCTATATTCTATTTGAAAATGCAAAACAAAAAAACCTTTTGTGGGCATAACTAGTACTTTATATTGTAAGAGTACCTGAAATATTAATCTACAAATTTGGGTTCCGGGCTCGCATACGTTTGGACAACACTGGTCTGCAGTATCAGAATAGAACTCAGGGCAGGCAGCTGAATGCACACTTGAAATACATGTAGGTTTACTGTTTTCCTACCAGAGGATGTGTAATTTTTAAAATAAATTGTGCACTGTGCTTAACACGTTAATATACATACATGAAAAAAACACATGAGGTGTGGGAAGTTATACCCTGGATTGAGTTCGGGTTCCACCCACAGAAGTAAAAGGAGAGAAAATTAGGAAGTCTTTGCCCAAAAAACGCTATATGACCGTCCTGAAAAGGGGTCTTTGTATCTGGTGAGTGTGGTTCCTGCTTTTTTCATTTCACTGACGGTGGAGAATAGTATGGAAGTTCTATTGATTTTTGGATCCATTAACCACGGTTGCAGATTGGAGTGCTTGATAATGGGACTTTTCTGCACATGTCACTAAATTATGAGGATCATTTTGCACAAGTCACTATTAACATTATGTATTGGATAATTTTTATCTGCATTTTATGTAATTTATATTTGAGCACATCACTAGCGGACTTATCACATTTTATTAGGGATTTTATTTATTGATGCGGTTTTTTAGGGATGTATATTAACCTGTTAAGCGCAGTGCACAATTTATTTTGAATATTATAAAAGTGTTATACACATTTTTTAGCACAGCAGCTCACAAGGTTTGTTGAAGATCTGAAGTGCAGATCATACATATATTTCTTGATGTGTAGTGAGGCACATGTGACAGTGAGGCACTGTCATCTTTATAATATTGTTTTTTTCTGCTTGTCAGGATGATCAGCAGGCTGCACAGTCTCCCCCAGTTGCTGGTCTGAAGACTGTCGATCCATTGCCAATTCGAGAGGATCCCTGGACAAGTCTTTCCAATAAGCCTTTGCCTGCAACAATCGCATACCCTGTCTGCAGATCTGTAGAGAATCCCTATGTGCCATTACCTTGGCAGTGGAGTCCATTATGCCGAATACAGGGAACACTGAGAGATCCAGAGTTCCAGCATAATGGTAAAATGAATGTTTACACAGATACTGAAAGAACACCGGACCTTAGTCAGATCACTTTGCCAAAATATCTTCCAGAGCAGGGCAAACAATAGTCCGTTAAGTCAACAGTAAAATAACATATAAATATAGGCAAGTATCAATAACTTGGATGTAGGTCATTTATACACACCCAACAAACCTTCCCACATTTAATGTTTGAGGATAAATGCTAAGATCCCTGTTACAGTGCAGAGTGATGTATCTCTGCACAAAATAGAGATTTAAGAATCATTTTATGGGCAACAATTTTTGAACAAAGCTAAAGAAATTAAAGTACTACTAAACGGGCAGCAGTTTTTACCTTGATGCATTCTCTGCATTAAGGTAAAAAACACATTTTTATTTATAACATATATTTAGTAGAAACCTTTGAGATTATGTTGTGTTTGGATGTGCTAATAACAGTTTTAGTGATTTTTGTATTGGAAATATTGCTTTGATAAACATTTATTGCAACAAAATCAACATTGCCATCTTAATTTTGTTATTATATGGTTTGTTTGTTTGTTTTTACAATCTTTCAAGTCTGTAATTCATATGTGCAAAATAGCAAGATTATTTTAGCCATCAAAGGTGCAAAATGGCAGAACCCAGCAAGATAGAGTTGCACGATACACGTGGAAGCACAAATAATTTTTAGAGTTTCTGAAAACCCCTTTAAAGTGTCATGTTCACCATGTAATAAAAGACAGAAATGTTCATTTATTTATTTTTTTTATTCCCAAGTGTGCACAAAATGTATACAAATAAATGGCATATGCCAGTGACATTGTTTATGATATTGTCATTATGAAGTTGTGTAAGAGTGGAAAAAAAAACTGTTATCAGTAGATACTGTCAGATAAACATTGTGTCCATATCCTGTGACAAACCAGATTGGTTATTTATAGTATTCTTTGTAATTCTTTGTTTACAGGTAACTTTAACAGTATCGGCATCTATGGTTCAGCTGTAAATGATGATGACAGCAATGAAGGTATGGATATAGAAGATGAATATCTACAGCATATGTATATATGCATGTACATATCCACTGAAATATAATTTTATGTGTTCGAGGTCAAATGGAAACTTTTCTCTACCGACTGATCTCCGATCAGCGATCACTGGACTCGGAAGTAATGTGTATTAGATCACTTCCGGTTTCAGTGTGTCATTTCTCTGGTTGCTGTAGCCGGAGAATGAGAAGATCTCTGCTTCATCAGCTTCTTTGTGGTCCCTGGGTGACATTAAGGATCTAAAAGATGTCTCCATAAAGAGGACCTGTCACTGTATCTGTGCTATCACATAGGGGGCTTCTTAGGGTGAGAGCAATAAAGTTAAGTGCAAAAACATTAATTAAAAAAATTGTAATTGTAAAAAATTAAAGTGACATAAGACTTTAGAAATAATACATCTAAAAAAGAAAAACCAGGATTTTTTTTTAAGACCCTCACCCCCGTGTGAAAATTTTTTAAGACCCCCGTGTGAAAACGACGATTGCGCCACACATGTTACATATCACCGCAAACCTAGGAGTGCATGCAATAATTCTAGAACTGGTAATCACTGTTAACACTGGTCTAAGAACAAGCCGGTTTGGATGGTTTGGTGAATATAACTTTTTTTTAGCACCTAGACACAAATGAGTACTTAACCCTTGCAGTGTTGGGGTAGCCCTACTGCAAGGGTTAATAAACCAGTTAGAGCACTAATGAGAATTGTTGCAATATTTAACAGATTTTTCAGTTTCCTTTCTTTCTTGGGCTGGCCATACACCTGCCAACTTTTTGACAGGTGAACAAAATAAATAGATGTGATTCCTCAAACAGCGTGTCGCCCGACGAATCACCGCTCTTTACATTGTATTCTGACAGGTGCCGCCGGCACCTGTCAAAATACCTGATCAGAGGGGGCAGCTCATTGGCTGTCGCTTCTGATAGCACGATGATTTTCCAGCAGGCTGCTTTGATCAGCTGATTGAGAAATGCCGGCTATTCGGCCAGTGTATGCGCACCTTTTGGAAGTTCTTTGGCCAGATCTGAGTTGGTGTTCTCAGGTCTGCAAAGATACTGTGGCCATTACAAGGCAGTTTCATTCTCATTGTAGGATCTTCATTTTATTTTATATTATGGAGATTGCAGGAGAGGTCATCCAGAACTCCAAGGTCAGCGGAGTCATTTTGAATGTTTGTAGAAAAATGGTTAATGATTTACATATGTTTGTATATGGTCTTTCAACTGGCAGTAAAATAGAAAAGTCGGTTTTAGTATGCCTTTCATTGACATAATCATGTTGCTGTTATATAAAGATTTTTCCAAACCAGCTGTGAGCATAGATTTTTTTAAATAACATTTAAAAGTAATTTTATTGAACATTTCATCATATTTATGTTATACATTTTTATTGAGAAGTCCCTTTCTTTCCATGACTGACAGCATCTGAAGAATGATCCCCTTTCTGTTTGTTTTTGTAAATACTTACCCTGCCATTTTATTTTCAGATGACCGACTTTCCCAGATCTCTGCCAGGTCAGCAGCTTCTAGTTCTTTGGCCTCACAAGTCCTGGAGCGTGCTCAAAAAAGAAAAGAGAATTTCTGGGGAAACAAATGATCAGCCCATCCGTCAACTTTTACTTATAATATATTTTTAAAGAATTTGATATGGAGGAAAGAAAAAGGTATACTAATTTTGTCATTGATTTTTGTATTTTAATTTTGGATAGATTTGCACATTTTTGTATTAATGGAAACATTACCTGTGTATTGTGACTCTATTTTGTTAGTATTTTTGAATCTTACATGTGTGTAGTTCCCAGGGAAAACAAGCCTATGGATAAAACAATAGTTTTTTCTATGAACATACCCATTCTGTTTAAAGCTGAATTTCTGATAGAAAAAAACAGATTAATGCAGCACAGTAATCATTAACACATAATACATTTATTTTTCAAAGGCAAGCAGTGTAAGTACCTGAATTTGACTTTGTATCAGCTAAAACAAGGAGCCAATCAGTTCATGTGCTCACAAAGAACATGCTGATAGAAGGAAAGGGCATAGTGACAGAGAGAAGAACTCATAACTTTGCTGCGTCTGTTGTCCATGAACAGGCTGAGGAAGGTCTACAACAATCTGAACTCAGAGGAAGTGGGTCAAAAGATCCTCACCATCAGACTGGGGGCATCTTCTGGTGGAAAAAGTAGTACTGTGGTGGAAAGCTCTAGATTGAAAATGAATATTGCAGTAAAAGCTGCTTCTTGTATTTCCTCTTTTAATGGACTGTTGATTTTTATCTGCAGTTTTGCTTTAAAGTGCACTTATAGCAAAAACGTTTTTCTAGATTTGGGTAGAGTATGACATGGGTAAAACCCCCTTAGGGTGTTTATTGGCCCTACTGCCATGATTCAGCCTATTTGTCTTGGTAAACAGTGTCATTGAGAGAGAAGGTGATGGGAAATCCAAAATGTTACAGTTGTTCCCAGAACATTAGGAAAATTGGAATCATCCAGTTGGGCCACCTTATGCAGTGACAACTGTCTAGGGGGATTTACATTCACTTTAGAGAGATTTTGGGGTTGATTTACTAACCTTATAAACACGCCACGAACAAGTATACACCTCTGTAGTGTGTTCCCTCCCAGCATGATCTATTGGTGGAGTCTAGACACATTTGTAGTGTGTACACACCCAGCAGCTGTGTTGTGCAAAGCCAAGCATGAATTGCAAGGTGATGTTGTGTAAATTAGCTCTACATTGTGTTGCTTGCGTTGATGAATGCAGGAATGTAAATGCATGAGCTAACCATTTTTGTCTAAACTGTGAAGCAGCATTATATATGCATCATGTGCATGATTTTTCCATATATGGCATTAGTGGTAATATGCTTTTAGAGACTTTTTGGTTGATAAATACGTTTTGCTGTGTAAAAATCACACACACCTAGTGCGTGCGTGTGTTTAGGTTAGTAAATCACCCCCTTTCTCTCACTTCCTGTTGCGTCTCAAAGACAGAAAGTGAAGTAAAATCTCCCAGACAGCGCTTAGCACAAAAAAAAAAAAACTAACAGAGATTCAAACCATTCTAACTTCTAACCCTACTCAATTCAAAGCTAAATGCAAGCATCTTTTTTATAACTCAGCAACTTTATTGAAATCACGAAATAGTAGTCAACGGTGACATTGATCTGCACTTCTTGAAATAGGTGTAACTAAATTCCTGTAGGCTTGATGCAAGAATAAACTAAGACTTATCATTTATATTATTATAAAATTGCAACCATTGTGCAGGTGGCCATGCCATGGTTGCAAAAAGCACACTTTAAGAGAATTATACACACTTTAACAATCAGTATTAGTAAAACAAATTCCCCCTGGACCATTTTTAAGCCATCAGTACTCCACCAGTACCATATCTCATATGTTGCAGCCACGGCCCTATTTAGCATAATGATGCTTGTGGGATAATACTTATGGCAGCAGAGACCTGCGCCCAAGAGGGACAGGCTCTACATGTACCTGCATGCAGCCACCTGTATATCTCTATGACCGGACGCAACTGCACGCGGCTATATGCTGACCCAAACTTGCACATCTGCATGCCCTAGAACTCAGACAAAGGTGTGCATCTGTACCTGTCCACGTGAATAAGGCCTACACAGAATGTTTTTTAAGTACAGCCCTGGTTTTAACACTTGTTCAGAATATGTTTTTTCTCAGTGCAATTGTTTTTAAAAATAAAGATACTACTATTTTGTCTCTGTGCGCTATAACTGCATTATATTTAGTTTGAAGTCTCATAAATTCCAATTGTATTATCTACCCTTAATTGAAATGACAATTCCTCATGTAAATTTGCAAAACCTGAAAAGTTATAATTCTATACTATTTGTTGAGCTCCTCTAATGGATTTTCTGTAATGTAAATTAAAAGCCTGCGGTGTACTTTTTTAAGAGAATGACATCTCCGTTTTAGCTTTGTGTGCGTTGCATAAACCCTATGGTGCCCACTCACAACTGAAGTATCAGTTTGAATAGAGTTGGCCTTTAATTTTAGATTTTTAATTTTTTCAAATTCTACTTTTGCTGTTTTTCAAAGATAAATCTAACAATAATCTACGAACTGTATGGTCAACCCAAGCTGATACTTTATCATGTTCACCACTGGGCAAAACATCCCCTAGGCTATGACGGTTATTTTTTTCACCATTTACTGAATGCCTTGCCTGCATATATCTACCTTTACCAAGAAGACAGGAATGTCAGGTTTCCTGTTGAAACCATAACAGTCTACAAGCCAAAATGAAACTGTATACATCTTTTAAGTGAAACAGAAAAGCTGTGGCTATTTGTGCTGTGTATTCAGTTTTATCCTTTGACTAAAATGTTTAGAGTTTTTTTTTTTTGTCACAGCCATTTACTGTGTTTTATTTGTGTAAATGAGATTGATTGAATGAAAAAACTGTTTGAATATAATGTTCTTGGTTTGTATTGATATTATATTGTATGTGTTTTTTAAGTCTAAATTTTTCTTGATGTTAAGGAAAGTAATATTTTTAATTAAAGCTAAGAATAAATTATATAAAGTATTTTTGATTTTTTTTCCTAATAACATTGCCTTATTATAATAATGTTAGTTACACCATGATATTGAGGGCCCGTTCACACTTAGGCTACATTCACACTGTAGTGTGAATGTGCATTTTGGTATTCCTGGGGCGGGAATCCCCAAAATGCCATTTAGAAGCAGCCGCTTCCGCTTAAGTTTGAGCCTAAAGGAAGCAACTTCCTCCTGTTACTGCTTCTCCTACTTCTAAAGTGCTTTGTAGATCATCAGGTTCCATTTCAATATCTGCCTACAGTGACTTTGCCACTTCCAGCCTCCCTGTGACCCTCAGCTGCCTGGGTTTGTGAGGACACTTGGGCCTGCATAGTTGTTCTCATCTATGCAGTGCTACCTGTCTTTTCTATAATGTACAGGGCACAGTCCCGCTGCAGTTGGTGAGCTCAGATTTCTCTATTGTTGATAGAAACAATTTCTCCGTAGCCTCAGAAGGGATTAAAGCTTGCAACGCTGATTCTGGGACTTCTATAACTATAGGGTTGTCCTCATCTTAGGCTTGCACAGCTTTAAAGTGTGAGGTGGAGACCTCTCATAAATCTACAAGACTTTTAATATCCATTTTTGATTTTTTGTTCTTTTGTGCACAGTTAATGCAAAAATCTGCTTGCATGGGGTTCTAAGTACACTCCAGGGTCATCTACCACAGATCCCAATTCTGACCCTAACAGACAGACGGACCAAGGGGCGGACTGACACATGGGGCCCCCGGACAATACAAGATTATGGGGCCCGTTGTGCTCCGCCTGTATACAAGCCCCACCTAGAAAGCCCCCACCTGCATAAACATTCTTGTGTTACAGAAATTATTTCTCCACACTATTTTTAAGATGGTGGGCCAATTAACTAAAAGATGAATTGCCGGGGAATTGGTAGAAGAATTTAAAAACCTAGAACAATATAGGCAATTTTGAAAGTGAGCTTAATGGCAGAACGCAGGGCAGAACTCAAAGCAGCACCAATGCACTAAAGACCTCAGACAAGAACCAATACAAAGCAGATCTCAGGCCAGAACCAATACACGGCAGATCTCAGACCAGAACCAATACACAGCAGACCAGAACCAATGAACGTCAGACTGGGCAGTTAGAATGACACATACACAACGACATCTCCGGGATCGACCATCACACACAGTCTGATTCCCGTGGGAGGTCACCCGCAAACACGCATTAATGGGCAGCTCCTTCCATTGCCAGCACATGGATGAGTGCTTACCTTCAGCAGGTGGGTACAGCAGGCCACCCCACAGAAGGCCAGGCCCCCGATGTGGAGGATCTCATGGAGAAGTGGACGGTTTCAACAGGGGCAGATGTGGAGGGTCTCACAAGTGGCAGATGCAGAGGTCTCACAAGGGGCAGGTGCTGAGGGTCTCGCAAGGGGCAGATGCTGAGGGTCTAAGCAGATGCGGAGGGTCTAAGCAGGGGCAGATGCGGAGGCTCTAAGCAGGGGCAGATGCGGAGGCTCTAAGCAGGGGAAGATGCGGAGGCTGTAAGCAGGGGCAGATGCAGAGGGTCTCACCAGGGGCAGATACAGATGGTTTCACATGGGCAGATGTGAAAGTCTAATAAGGGGCATATGCAGAGGTCTCACATCCACTTTAAGGTTACTCTGCCACTATTGGGTCAAAGTAGCAAGAATACTGCAGCTCCAGAAACAAGATGTCTATTTATATTATAAACCATACCAAACCAAATTATATCATCTGGCTAGTATACAGCAGGAATGCATACATTGTCAACAGCACAGAACATACCAGCACTCAAAAAGTGAGATCCCCTGTCCCTACTTAAAATTGAACAGGCTGTAAAATCTAACAGTAGCCACCAACAGAAAAGTAAACAGTAGCCCCCAACAACCAATCAGATATTAATATTAACCCAATCTGCCACTATAAATGATTCATTGTCTTACCAGTGCCAATAAACTTTCAAAAAAAGAGTTCTCACTTGGGGCAGATGTGGGCATCTTTTCCCACGACGGTAGTGTCTGAGGGCCCGGGAGGCTGGTGACACTGCCGTTGCCGTTTTAACACAGCTGTGTCTCCTACCATGCGTGCTGGAAAGGGCACGGGGGGTCAGTGACATGCCCTCGGGCAGTGCCCGACGGCCTGTATGGTCAGTCCGCCCCTACGTCCACCTTTAAGTGTGCATGAGGCCCCAATTACAACCTGTTATTCAGATTATTTATAGCCTTCCCCTGAA